TACAATGTCATGAACCTCTGTCCATAGTTCATCAGGCACTCTGTCTATCAGATCTAGTCCCTTAAATCTATTTCTCACTTCCACTGTATAATCATAAGGGATTTGATTTAGGTCATACCTGAATGGTCTAGTGGTTTTCCCTACTTTCTTCAATTTAAGTCTGAATTTGGCAATACGGAATTCATGAGCTGAGCCACAGTCAGCTCCCTGTCTTGTTTTTGCTGACTGTATAGAGCTTCTCCATCTTTGGCTGAAAAGAATATAATCAATCCGATTTGAGTGTTAACCATCTGGTGATGTCCATGTGTAGAGTCTTAGTTTTTCAAGGGACCTCTATACTCTTCTCTGTAATGGCTATACCAGTTTACTTTCTCATCAACAGTGTAAGAGGGTACCCTTTACCCATATCCTCTCCAGATTTATTATTTGTAGACTTTGTGATAATGGCCATTCACACCTCATTGCAGTTTTGATTTGCATTTCTAGCAAACAGTTTTTTTAAAGGGCAAGGCTTTCTTCTCTCTCTGAAGGGGCTAATTTCCCTGAAATTAAAAAAAGAAAGTCTTTAATCATTTAAAAACATGATATAATTTTCATCTTTACATATTGTGATAGCTCAGTTGGTAAAGAATCCACCTGCATTGCAGGAGACCCCAGTTCAATTCCTGGGTTAAGAAGATCCACTGGAGAACGGATAGGCTCCCCACTCCTGTTCTTGGGCATCCCTGGTGGCTCAGCTGGTAAAGAATCTGCCTGCAGTGTGGGAGACCTGGGTTTGATCCCTGGGTTGGGGAGATCCCCTGGAGAAGGGAAAGGGTACCCATTCCAGTATTCTGACCTGGAGAATTCCATGGACTCTATAGTCCATGGGATCGCAAAGAGTTGTACATGACCGGGCAACTTTCACTTTCACATGTTGTGAAACAGTGAAGTCCAAATAAATGGTTTTACCACTGTGCGTGCATGCATGTTCAGTTGGTTGTGTCCAACTTTGCTACCCTATGCACTGTAGCCTGCCAAGCTTTTGTAAGGAGGAATGTTGGAGTGGGTTGCCATGCCCTCCTCCAGGGAATCTTCCTGACCCAAGGATCAAACCCATGTCTCCTGCAGCCCCTGTACCACAGGTGAATTCTTTACAGCTGAGCCACCAGCACTGTAGGAAAGCAAAATTTGACACCCCAAAATGTGTCTTTTTGGTGTGAAGGTTAAATTAAGCTAATTATTTTTAAGAAACAGAAGACTCAGTAAGTTTTTCTTGTTACTGTCCCCTTATCTGCCAAAAAGAATTTTGATAGAGGATCTATTCTGTAATAGAACTAAGAATATAGACTAGGTGAGGTGGGGAAAACTCTGCAGGGGTGAAAGATCAGAGTCCACTCACTGTCCTGCAAGGCCCAGCAAACATCTGTTTATCAAACATTTGCTTTTCATCTCCATGTGAATTGCTTCCCCTTTGAAGTCTCAAACCACACCCCTAACATCTTTGGTTTTCAGCTGAAGACAGTATTTAAGGTGAGGGTTTCAGTCATTTTGGTGAGTTAGTTTTCCTGGGTAGTGTCAGAGGGGAAGAAATTTCCCTCAATCCTTCTTAGTTCTTCAACAGAAAGCAAGAATATATATATAATTGAATTGAATCACTTTGTTGTATGCCAGAAACTAACACAACACTGTATATCAACTATACCTCAATTAAAGTATACATATATACATATACATACTCTGCTTATATATATGTGTGTGTGTATACTCAAATCAGTAACATTCTATGAAGGTCGTCACTGCAAAAGAAATCAGCAAAAACTATGTGTTCTGACTTTAGAAAGCTATGCTAGTTACTGGAGTCTTCCAGTAGCATTTAAAAATATAATGCAGACCAGGGCTAAAAGGACAATGAGTGAGAAATATTGATTAGACAGACAAAACATCATATTCAATTTAACATTATCTTGAGGTTTTTAGGAAAGTTATTTTTTTAATTTTATTTTTAATTGGAAGATAATTACTTTACAATATTGTGATGGGTTCTGCCATCATCAACATAAATCAGCCACAGGTATACATATGTCCCCTCCCTTTAAAACCTCCCTTCCACCTCTCTCCCAGGCAAGTTATTTTTTTATTGAAAATATACTTTACCCAAAAAACTGCCATACACTGACCATGTGAATAATGAGTAACTCTATAATGCCTGTATAAGAGGTTTAAGGAAGATACAACTTTCTCACTACCAGTACTGTCAGTCTCAAAAGCCAAAAGGCCCAGTCATCCTCAGGAAGAGAAATCTGGCAGAAAAGTTTATTCCCTTTTTATCTCCACATGTAGTTAAATATCCCCCATGTAGTTAAATAATGAAGACTCATTTCAAGTAATTACTCTGCTTATAAGTTTTATTTACACAGTAATTGTTAATAGTGGGTTTTAGTAAATTCCTTGTATTTACATTTTATATACACATTTATACTTGAAAGGTAAAGAAACTGTACAATAATAAAAATGAGAAAAAGAAATACAGTAACTTAGGCCCAACTTAGGAAACAAATACACAAAAGTAAGATTAAATTTTGGCAGGTAGTACAACCTCAATGAGATTACTGCCAGGGGTTTCGTTCCCTCTATCAGGGCCACCAATACCAAGGAAGTAGTTACCAGAGTTAATATGTCATTCTAAAACCTATTAAGACCCTGAGTACTCCCTCAATATTTTATTACACTACTAGTTTCCACTAAGAAAGCTCCTATGACAGGAGTTAACTTCTGAGGGCTCCATTAGTGGTCCCTAGGCTAGAATGACCCATGGGGTAAAAATACATGGATACCATCTGGTCCCATATTCCTAAAGAGGCAGTCACTATACTAACAAGGTTCTCAGACTTGTTAGTTTGAAGACTATATACCGCTAACAGAAATAGTGTGCTTAAGTGTTGTTTCAAACCAAAGTGCACCATAAAAGCACACTATAAGTCTAATTATTAACCAAATACCATGTTATATAGATATCAATAATAATAAAGTGATTTATTTTAAGCTCAAGAATCAAACATAATAAATTTAATGTCAGGTTACCAATAATTAATCATTCCTTTATCCACTATATCATCAAAGTTAAACTCATTAGAAAAAAATTAAATTTTAACTTTCTTTTACTCTCATTTCCATTGATTAGAAAATTATACACAGGGTTTTACAAGTCATGGACTTTGCTACATGTTTCAAAATTCAAACTGGAATTACCAAATTTTGTTTCTACAGACAGTGAAAGAATTTTAACTAACAAACTTAAAGTCTTGCCAAGTAGCATGCTATTTAAGAACTCTCAGAATTCATTACTTTTTATTCTTACCAGTGAAAAACCTCATTTATATTTATGGACTTACTCCCTCCAAAAAGTCTTCAGTCCATTAAAGTGCAAAGAAATTTTCTTCTACCAGTTAGTTTTCTTAAATTACTAGATGAACAATTCTTAGACTAGAAACAGAAAAGCTAAATTCCTCTGAGTGACAGGAATTCCTTGAGAAAAAGAAACAATTTCCTTTCAAAAACAGACATGATACTGTGGAAAACACTTACATAAGTGCTAAACAATCTCCTACCAATATTTCCAGTTCCCAAATAACCCAAATTTGCCCCAACCTGGGAGTGAATATAAACATCAGTGACATAAACACTTTACAATCAAAGTTGCCTATTATTGGTCTATAATATCTTCAGATGTTTGGAACTGGGGATAATATCTGTACTAAGGTGTTTATTTCAAATAGTATTTTAGGAGTTAAAGTAGTATTTAAATAGCCTGTTCTGATGTCCAAAGTGCCTTTATGCTAATAGTTAAAAAAAGAAAAGATGTAAAAATTTTGAACTATATCCAAAGCTATTAAAAAATTTATTGCATTAAACTATTTATTCACTCCATATTATGAAGTATGAACTAGCCATTTAAATTTTCTCCTTTGTAAAATGGCTCTCCCTATAAAATACTTTTTAAATTAATACTGTCAATGGGTTACTCATTTACTTCAGCCATGGAATTCAAAATCAGTAGTTTTCCATGTCTTGATTCTTTTAGCTTTCTTCAGCATTTTCTACCATGCTTTTTACATAGGAAACAAAAACTTTTATCAAAAAACATTTGTTATATTGCAATTATTTTGTTAATTTTGAAGGTTAGCTTTTCAGAGCTGGACTATTATTCTTGTCTCCTTCTTTAATATCCTTCATCATAGATGCAAAGACCTGGAAATTATATAAAGTAAACATTAATGCTAAAAACAACAACCATGCAGATTAAAGAGATTTTAAAATCTATAGTTTATTAACATGAAAAAGCTTTAGCATACATAACTTTGCTCTCTGAAAGAGTGTCATTCTCAAATCCTTGTTTGTTTGAACCCAATTTTATGATATACAGTTAGATTCCAGTTTTCATCACTTGCCAATATTATAAAATTACTATTAGGTAACAAAACATTTCCTGGACCAATATTCATTCGTTTGTTTTTTTCTGCATTTTCCCAATGTTTATTTTTTAAATTAATTTACTTATTTTAATTGGAAGCTAATTACTTTACAATATTGTAGTGGTTTTTGCCATACACTGACTGGACCAATATTCTTATATTTTTATTTTCATAAGCAATAAAACTGTGAACTTATGCCTACTGTCCATCATTCATGAAGCAAGTGTTAGCACTATTTTTTATGTCATATAACTTTAGACTGTCAATATATTTGCTTCCCTAACAACATTAAGCATCTAAAAAGTCAGAATCATACATTACATTCTTTTTATTGCAAACCCTTAGTACACATTCAGGTATTTAATACAATTGTTGTCTATTTGAAATACCAAGGTGCTTATATAATTACCCTGGCAAATTCATGCCTATTGTAGGCTGTACTTCACTAAACTCAAAATATTACTGGACTTACATAAAAATAAAGCCATAGGTCTGGAGAGGTGAAAGAGAAGCAATATTTTTTTGAAAGTCAAAAATTATTTTTAAAGCTTTTTTTTTTTAAACTTAAGCACTAACATTTGTGAAATACTTAACTTTTTTTTTACATTAAAAAAAAAAACTTTTAATACATCTGTTAGAAGTAGGAAAATGGCACTCTACCTGAGTCCATTTTTTGGTACTATTCTGCATCTGAATGGCTGCAATACAGCTGAACAGTTTTTCTGATGTGATATCTTCCGGCAATTTAGTCAGAAACTGTGCTATGTGAATAAAGTCCATCTGTAGAAGAATATCTTCATATAATCGGAGGATTCCTAATCCAGTCCTAAATAAAAATTCCTCCCCATCTCTGCAAAATACATCCCATACTCGACAGGCCAGATCAAGTGGTAGTGATTTGCTATATAGTGTGAAGATCCTAAAATTAGGGGGGAAAAAGTCATTGAAATTTTTCATTCATTTATTCATTCACTCATTAAGCATCTCTATATAAAAAGAAGTGCTTAAATTAGGGCTGAAAAGGCAAATAAGATATGGCTCCTTCCCTCAACTTGAGTAGTGGAAAATTAAGTAATAAATGACAGAAGTATGTGAATTTATAATCTTATGCAGCAATACAGCCTAATACAAACTACAGTGGCAGAATAACCTCATGGTTAAGGGTATGGACTCTGAAACCAGCGTACCTGAGTTTGAACCTTAGATTTGCAATTTATTGATTATGTTCCCTGAATAAGATACTTAAACTTACTGTGCCTCAGTTTGCTCATTAGTAAACAAAGATAATAAAATTACCTAAATGTAAAGTGTTTGAAATAGTGAATGGCACATAAGAAATAAAAGTTACTTCTTATTATTGTATGAGGACAAGTACCTTATATTAACCTAAATATAAAACCATAAAGCCTGACTTCTCTCCTTTTTTTTCTTCTTCACAAACACCTACTGTTTTGTTTTCCGGTCACCAAACTTTACTTACTACTTCTTTTGGAGCATGTATACCCTCCAATAGAATCACCAAAGGTTTTTCCCATCTTTTCTGATAATGTTTGATGGTGTCTTTATTCAGTAGTACTTTGGAGTAGCACTGCAGTTGAGGAAGTAGGGAGAGTAGATGCTAGAGAACTTCTCTTGATGTTACCTTGGCAGAGAAGGTACACATTTTTTACACAGACTTTAGCTGAGATACTGTTGATGAAATGTGAGCAAGTCAACTAAAGGCTCTCCCACCAAAAAATGAAATAAATCCTCATTAGCACTGCCACTTCTTTTTTCTTGCACCATTGGTTCTGGGCTTTGTATGTTACAAGCTCAATGGAGTGAAACAAAAATCCATGTCTACTTCTTAAATTATAAACACATATTTAATTGCATAACAAAAAGCAGAGGGAATTCCCTGGCAGTCCAGTGATTAGGAGTCTGGTTTCCACTGCAGAGGGCTTGGGTTCTATCCCTAGTCAGGGAACTAATATCCCAAAAGCTGTAAGGCCCAGCCAAAAAAAAAAAAAAAAAACCTCCAGAAAACCTAAAGCATACTCTTGGTAGTACAGAGAATACCAACTCACTGTTCAAAATGTGAAAGGGTATTAGTAGTGCTGAGGCAGTTTCTAGTATACAGTACTCACTCGGTATTAATTTCATCCTGCTCCCTTTATCAGTTGTGATCCTGTTTTGCCTCATGTTCACAGTTCTTAAGATGGACAGTTGAGCAGTTTTACCCCCATTCTTTACAGATTTAGTACTTGATCTTGGTCCTTCAGGTCCCATAATATAAAACCCTTCTCCCCATGATCTTAGGTCCTACCCAAAGGAACTCTAATGTTCCTAATGGGAACAGGAGAATACGTTGAAAAATAACTTAGTTTTTTTTTTTAAGTCTAAATAGAAGAAACCTCAAACCACCATAAAGATAGCTGATCAATGCCATTGTCTATATTAAAACTTATTATCACTTATATGAAAGCCACTGATTTTTAATGATTAGGATTTAAGATTTAAATATTTCATATGTACTCTTAACAATCTATCTTAAGATCAATTGCTCTATCTCTTGGGCAAAATTCACACCCCTCTAAATATCTACTGCTACTGCTCAGCAGAGTCCTAGGCAAACCTTCCAAGTTAGAATAGAAGAGCTAGAATTATAAAGTTAAAAAAAGGCAGTAGCACCTAAATAAGGCATCAATACTTGGTCAGAAAACTGGATAAGGCCTTGGAAAAAACAAAGCTCTCAGTAAAGAAAACCTATCATAACTATCATAAGCCCTTGTATGTTAAGAATATTAAAGGAATAGCAACTAATTCTTTCTCAGAGCTTAGTATGTATCTGGCATTGAGTGAGATAATCCATGCAAAACACTCTCACTACAACTAAAGATAAGAGATATTATTACTTGCATTTTATAGTTTGGAAATTGATATACAAACAGGGATTCTGATTTCAACCCAGAGTTCATGCTCTTAATCAAATCCCTCCCAACAAAAATGTGAGGGTTTCTTTATACCTAAGAGAAGAGTTTTTCTTATATGTATGATCCTGTGCATCAGATTTACTTTAGGCAAAAAGTTTTACTCTGTTTCCTTTTAATTACTATATTCTACGTATGTTATGACTTACCAGTCTATCAAGTATATATCTGGTGTAAGACTATAAGATTTGAAATGAAGAAATAGTTTGGAGAGATTTTCTTCAAAAAATACTTCAAACGTTGCAAAATATTTCAACATCTAAAGATAGAAATTTCAACAAAATTATTTAAGAGTATACTCAAGAAATTGAGAAATTAAATCCTTACTCATAAGTTAATAGAAAATCTTGCTGAGCACCTCTTTCTGAGTCTTTTCATCAAGCATTCATAAAACTGTAATTCAATGAAAGGCTTATTTTAGATCACCTTGGTCTTCTAATTACTGTATTTTACTCTGTAAGGGCAATCAGCCTATAGAAACTGACAGTCAAAGAAAAACACAATTCATTCTAAATGTCCATACCATGCTGTGATCCACACGAAAAAAGGCTAACTGGCATGGCTTATTCAGGAGATTTGCAAATGCAATGAAGGCATCTGCTTCTTCCAAGTTGAGAATGAGAACTGCTGCTATGAAGGACATCCCTTGGACCTTCAAAGGGAAGAGAAATTAATGCAGGAGACGCAAGAGACACAGGTTCAATCTCTGAGTCGGGAAGATCACCTGGAGTAGGAAATGGCAACTTACTCCAGAATGCCTGTCTGAAAAGTTCCAGGGACAGAGGAGCCTGGCGGGCTACAATCCATGGGGTTCCAAAGAGTCAGACACGACTGAGCAACTGAGCACATACAGTTTTAAAATAAAAGTTTTATTTTAAAATATCAATATTTAATAAGTGCTAAAAGTTAAATCCTTTATGATGAAACTTATAATGAAAAAATTTAAATGAATGTCAACTTAAAAATGTGAAGGGGTTATGTAATGTTTTTACGACTCTACTATAGAACACATGAGCAAAAGAGATTCTCTGTTAAGTTTACTTTCTTCATAAGGACATCTTTAATACTACAACCTGCCCCATGCCCAAACTTCACTTTCCCCCCAACCCATGCCATGCTTTTTCTATAACACATCACCTTTTAATAAACGTGTGATTTACTTGTTGTTGTTTATTGTCTGTCTCCTTCTAAATTATAAAAGACAAAAGGGAGGAATCATTCTTTTGTTCACAGAGCCAAATAAAATGCCTAGAACAAAGCCTGGCATATAGCCATAAGCACACAAGAACTATTTGTTGAGTGAATGGATGAATAAACAAATGTACAAATGAACATGCAACAAAATAGGGTAAGTTGTATCAGACAGCCACCCTATTGTGAAATCTCTAAAATTTTTCCATTTTAAGACAAAGGCAAGAAAATGAAGGTTTTATGATTTCCAGTAAAACATGAGAAGTTGAACACATTTTTCTTTGTCCCCTTCCCTCCTAAATCCAACTAAGATAACAGTAAATAAAAAGATAAGAGTTAACCTAGAAGAACAAAAAAGAAAATGGAAAATAATATAGACAGTAGATAAAAGATGTCAATAGCATTTTAGAAATTTTAATTTAACTGTACAGGGAATATTGAGACTAAAATATGTGCTGAGGAGAAAGCCAGTCAGCAGCAAGCCAATTCAGCCACAAATTCTGGAAGGCTCAAGAACTGAAGTTATCAGGCACCTCTAAAATTGAGAGGAAGGACTAAAACTTGGATTGGTTAAAAATTTGTGAAAGGAGCAAGTCCCCTCCTCTACTCTGTATGTACAGGTACCTACCTTTTCCTCAACCCAGATGAACATAAGAGGTTTATCTCTAAACAGACAATCAGGAAAAGGAGAGTTAGGGAGAAGGGGAGAAGGCAACACAGGAGGGATAATAAATAAAAGTTTACAAACTGAATGATCAAATCCCTAGCTGCTCTCCAAGAAAGCTGGCAATCAGTTTCACAAGCCTCTGTCAGGAAAGGGAAAATTCCTCTCAGAGTAAGCTGACAGAAGCAAGAAGAAAACTATAGAAATACAGACATTTGAGAGCTAATACAACATAAGCTACTATGAGATAAGAGAGAATGTTTATATTCAAAAGACAGATTGAAACAAATACTTACATAACCAACATCCGGTCGGTAACATGTATATGCCCCTAATATACTATGTAAGACATCATGATATGGGCCACCCTTAGAGAAGAGAAAAATGAAATGTCAAACTATACAAATAATTCTTTCTAAGTTAATTCTCAAAAAACATGTTAATTAACTTTATATTTCCTAAATGACTAGTTTTGGTCACTATACTTAATCACTCTGCAAAGATATGTTCTAAAGTATGGATAAAAAATATGTAATTGTGGAAAACCAAAAAAGTCAAATAAACTTACTTGATGGATGGATACAAACTAGAGTTGTATGCAATTTTAAAGACATCTAAATGCTCAACATCACTCATTATCAGAGAAATGTGAATCAAAACCACAATGAGGTACCACACTTCACGCCAGTCAGAATGGCTGCTATCCAAACGCCTACAAGCAATAAATGCTGGAGAGGGTGTGGAGAAAAGGGAACCCTCTTACACTGTTGGTGGGAATGCAAACTAGTACAGCCGCTATGGAAAACAGTGTGGAGATTTCTTAAAAAGNAAAATTTACAATGAAAACAGATTCTTTCATTTGATATAATACAATTTCAGCAAAAGAAAACCAAGAAGACACAAAATTAAGTTTATTAATAATTACAAATTTTAATCTTAATGGTGAAACTTTCTATCTCACTTTATCAACATAGAGAAGAATTCAATGAATAAAGACTTGTCATATATATGTATAAAATATAATCATTACTCTCCTCATAAAACATAAGCAATTTCATAATCTCTGCACAAAAAACAAACCTTCCAATTACAATAATAATTCTGAAAAAAAATTAAGTTTTGGAGCAAACTTCCTTATAGTTTACCAAATTACTAGGCAAAAATGTTAAAATTCAGATATTTTACAGAACAGAAACTAGACAAAGAAATTCACTTCAGGGAAAACTCATCAGGTACCTTTCCGTGTTATCTAACTGCAATGCATTCAGTCAGTGGAATAAAATAACAGAAGTGCCTTTACTATTTTCCTACTAGTTTTGCCTTTTTTATATAAAGGCCTTCAATTTTTATAGTTATGCTTTTAAAAAATAATAGCTATGCATTTAGAGAATTTATTCCTTTGGATTAAAAAAAAAAAATAGTTGCTACAAGTTAGTTGAGATACCCTTACCTTCTGAAAGATGTAGAGAGACGGAAATGTACGGGATATGTCCAATTTAATTAATTCTAGACTGGCCTCTCGATCAGCAACAGATACACCTGCATTTGTCAGGTAGATAAAACTGAAACGATTACTTGTTATACCAAGTTCAGTCTTCTAAACACAGAATGATGACACAGCATGTATGTTACTTAAGGAAAGTTAAAAGCTGAATAATCAGTAACTTGAAAGAAACATCACAGCTTTTCCTGGAACTTATAGCCTTAAACCTGTATGCAGGTCAGGAAGCAACAGTTAGAACTGGGCATGAAACAACAGACTGGTTCCAAATAGGTCAAGGCTGTATATTGTCACCCTGCTTATTTAAGATGCAGAGTACATCATGAGAAACGCTGGGCTGGAGGAAGCACAAGATGGAATCAAGATTG